TTGTTTTCGTCGTGGAGCGGCGCATCGAATGGCAAGCGCGTGATTCTTATTTAGTTATTTTTATAAGTTATTTTTCTGCAAAAAATTGTGCAGTTGTGGGTTGTTCAATGTTCGTAAAAAACAGAGTTGATTCTATTATATTTCAAATCCGCGATGTGTTCTTTTAATCTTGTTTCTAATCTTCGTTTTGTTTCTCCAATGTATGCTTTTGGTGGTTCACGTGTGCAAGGTATTTTATAAACGACTTCAATAAAAAGAAAATGTAATTATTTTCGATTTATTCACATCCACATTTGTAATTTCAAATTATTATCTTATTAAATGTTTTTATAAATCAAATATACTTTTTCTTTCTTTATATATGATATAAAGTTTAAAAATTGTTATTACGAATAAGATTTTTTTTACAGAACAGTAGAAAAAGTTACAAAAATGCTTGAAAACGGTAAAACTACCGACTAACCAAATAGATAAACAAACTTATCGCCATAGTGCGACTCTAACGCCAGCTATCGGCAGCCTGACACATTCTCTACTTGAGAGCATAGCTCAAGGCCCAATATATCTATTGACTTTTGCATTACTTTGGATTAGTAGAGAAAATATTAAACAGCCAAGCTAAGATACTATTTTAAACTTTAATTAAATTTGCGTTATAAATTTACTAATTTAAATAAAACTATTTTTGAATTTTTTTCTATTAAATAATTAAATATTGTCTTTCTTTATGTTTTTACAATGAATTATATTTTAATGATACTTTTACTTCTAATGCAACCATTCACAATCATATATACAATTAAAAACTTAAGATCTAAATAAATTAAAGTTATTATTATTTATTACTATAAATTTTATTATAAGTATATTATTTTTAACAATACTTACAGTATATTTAATTATATCATTATTTAATATCCGTTTATTTCTAAGTCACATGTCTTACTGTCAACAAGTCTGACTAATCGCTCATAAAAAATCATCTTGTTTAGTTGGACAGACTGTAACCAACTTACACTGCAATTCAGATTAATTGCACATTTTGTACAACTTTATTCTAATCTTTGTTTGTTTTACGATACAGCGACGTTTATTACTTTAAATTAAAAATGTCTTTTAAAAAGAGATTTCGTTCTTCTATGCAGGATAATTATTTTATATGCAATTAAGCAATTAAATTATTGTAGAATGTAAAAATTAGATAGACAATTTTCAATATAATAGACATTTTTTAAAAAATTATATAACATATTTTCCGAAGTTTTTATGAATTGCAGCTATAAAAATTTATTTATTTTAGATAGTTAAAAATTGTATATAAATTAAGTACTAAATATATCTTTTTATTACTTTTATTATATACTTTTTTATTTTCTAAATTGTTTTATGAGCTTAATTAATTACCTGTTTTATATATAATGAAGATAGCTTAAAAAATAAAGTTTAATGTTTAATAAATTTGAATTTTTGATCAATGTATTTAAGCAATTATGGTCTGGGTCTGTTTTACTTTTTTTTTTTTTTTTCCTGAATGGCGTTTATGAAATTAAATTAGAAATTACTTAACAAGAAAGGTATTGTAATATATATATATATAATATTTAACAGCTATTACTATGTTATTTAATAGTTCTTATGTTTAATTGTTATAGATAGTTAAGGAAGGCAGTATGGCCTAGGCCAGTGATGACGAACCTTTTTCCAGAGGTGGGTCAACATTGAATTCGAAATTTATTAACTCCAAATCGCAAGTCAAATATTTAATTTGAGTATTTAAAAATGCTTACAAATTTTACATTATTTAACTTTTTAATCTATATGGCAAAAATAATAATAAATTTTGTGTAAATGTAAAGATGATGATAATGTGATTATAACAGAAACAAATATTTCGTTTAATGGGAAATCTGTTTACTTGATGATAATTTTTCCACTTGAGATTCATAATTAGGGACCTTTGACTTTTGACGACAGAATTAGGATTTCCACAATACTTATGCAGATTTGAAATTATTAATTTTTTTGTTTTTATTTTATAAAAACGTAATACTTTCTAAATATTTAATGTGGGTACCTTGATATCGTCGCGCGGCTCACAGATTCGCCATCACTGGCCTAGGCAGTTAATAGGCACGTCTACCGTTCTATGAAACTCGGGATTAAATCCGGTGGGTGGAAAAATTTCATCAATTTTTTTGAGACGGTCTGTCCTAGATATGTCGGAACCAGTCCATCACCATCAACTGGCTCTTGTTATGGGCCTTCCAAATCCATGATGGGATTGGAAAAAATACTCTAATAGTGTCCATAGGACGGAAAGAATCAAAAATAGTAGATAAATACACTCTTAGACTAATCAAAAGAAATATTTTGTATTTATTAAATAATATAGCCTATATTTAAAACCGGATCTAGTACAAAATTATGAAAAATTAAACAAATAATTGATTACATATAATTCAATTTACAATGTTTGAATAGTCAATTTGACAGCTATTTTAAAATCTCTTAAAACGTATCAAGATATACACTATTAGCTGAATACTTCAAGTTGGACTTATCTGTTGATGTTCTATACCATTTGGATTAAAATTCGCTTGAGATTTCATAAAAGCTTCAACTGCTAATCCCGCTTCTCTCAGAATCTGATAATATAAATTATCATCAAAATTAATAAATGTATAAATTATTTTTAAAAGATATAATAATATATTTCTACTTATTTTTATTTTTTATAACTGTTTACTCCAGAGCAAAAAGTTAAAAAAATAAACATTCCCTTCAGTCAATAAATTTTGAGACGGAGTATGTATTAATAAGAAAATATTTATTAGAGGAAAAGAGTTACACAATACTACCTTCGAAATACTGTACTGGTACATCCTACGAGTAATATACTAACTATTTATATTTCTTTTTAAATGTTTTGCAGCTTCCACTTGAGGCTCCAAAAATATGGAAATCGAACGGGGAAAAATCGGGGCTGTATGGGGGTGTGTATGGACTAAGCTGTATTTTAAAGATAAATCCTATTAAATTCATCTTTAACAAAATCTTTAGCGATTGTGCCACTTCATCTACATGCTAACATTTAATAAAATATCTACAATAATCACACAGGTTTGCAAATTTCAACTAATAAAACACAGGAAGGAACAGCGTGAACGTTCACCGCTGTGCCATTTGTCTGTTAGACATGCTCGAAGTGAGGTTGGCGAGTCGTGTGTGTGTGTACAACATCACTATGGAGTCCCACTGCTTGTTGTCTTTCTAGAATACGGCGCCACAATTAACGCACAGCGGTGCAAAGAAACTTTGCAAAAATTGAAGCGTGCCATCGAATCCAAACACCCAGGAATGTTGACAGACAGCATCATTCTGTTGCAGGATAATACTCACCCACATGTTACGAAGGTTGTTTTGACTACGCTGCAGAAGTTTCGCTGGGAACTTCTGCAGCTTAGTCCATACACATCCCCCATACAGCCCCGATTTTTCCCCGTTCGATTTCCATATTTTTGGAGCCTCGAAGAAAGACATTCGTGGCCGTCAATTTGCTTTGGACGAAAAGGTGCACGCCGGGTACAATCATGGTTCCGTAGGCAACCGCAAACATTTTTCTATGAAGACATTGGCCATCTTGTCTCACAGTGGGATAAATGTATTAAAAGTTATAGCAATTACTTTTGAAATAATAAACAGTTTACTTACTTTTTTCGCATCTGTCTCGTTTTCATTTGACTGGCCCTAATGCATATGTATAATAGTGTTTTCATTTATTTTAACGCGAAAAAAATTATCAATTTCGTATATCGCGGCGAAAAAATTGCGACCGTATTAGTATAAAGACGCTAAAAGAGACTCGTAAAGTGCGGTAAAACGTCATCGCCGACTCGTGTCGCGACAGGATTGGTCGAATCTGGACCAATAGTGGACGAGCAGCCGAACTATTTACATGCTACGGAGAGTTTAGGCGGGTAAGTTGAGTTTACTATCGTCTGTACAGTATATAGGCCTAAATTAGGAACTGTAAGTCTAATACAGTACTGTAATTTTATAAATTTCTTGTGAAAAAAACATTTCTTATTCAACGGCCATAAAAATTATTTCTATTAATGATGTCTCCAAAGTTCAACGAATTTTTCGCAGAAAAATAACTTATCAGAAAACGCGCCTGCCGTTTGGTGCGCTGCTCCGCGACGAAAACAAGCTTAAGCAATGGCGTGGTCGAACGGTGCACACTCGGTAAGTAATCCTATAATTTTTTGTTTATAGCATAGTTTATACAGATTATTCTCAAAAAATTATACGTGTTTGTTTTGGAAATGTTGAGTGAAATTAGTCTAGAATCGATTAATTTTATGGAAGAAAACCTTTCAAACAGCCGTAGTGCGTAAACTTTATACGTGTCAGGCTGTGATTGGCTCATGCATTTAAGGATTCCTACAACGCGAAATTCTTATAAAGCGGAACGTATCTACCGCGTTATAGGGGGTTGACTATATTTGATATTAATTTCCTTATATCAGGTCCTGTGAATACACCTTTTAGTTTTGCTTCGGACAAAGCTGGAAACTTTTTGCATAAATACAAAAAAGTCTCTATCCTTTCGTAAAGCCTTTATTAACTGTTTCATTAATCCCAGTTTAATATGCAGGGGTGGCAACAGCTCTTTCTTTGGGTTCACCAAGTTGCTCCTCACAATATTCTTTATGCCAGGTTGTAATTGTTTTCTAGGTGGCCATTGTTTCTGAACTCAATGCATTTAGCAACATAATTAAATAAATTACGGCTACTGAAACGTGTCACCAATATGGGTGCGAAATATGCGAATAAAGCATCATTTATCCAATAAAAATGGTTTTGTAGAAAAACCTTACGTGATAGAGAAAAACTAGTAACATTTTAATTGATGATTTAGTGAAAATGATTACGATGAAACGAATTGAGAATGCTTATAAGATTGATATTACTGTATATTAGCTTTTAATATTATTTGTTAAATTGGAGTATTTGATAATTAACTAAATAACTGTCTTTAATACAGTCGACCCCCCCTATAACACGGTAGATACGTCCCAGTTTTTATGAAATCCATTTTATACGAGTCCTTAAATACATGAGCCAATCAAAGCCCAGCACGTATGCAGTTTACGGACTACGGCTGTTTAAAAGGTTTTCTTCCATAAAATTAATCGATTCGACTAATTCGACTCAACATTCCCAAAATATGTATAATTTTTTGGGAATAAGCCATATAAACTATGCTATAAACAAAAAATTGTAGGATTACTTACCGAGTGTTCGACGACGCCATTGCTTAAGCTTGTTTTCTCCGTGGAACGATGCATCGAATGGCGCTTGCGCACTTCCTGATAAGTTATTTTTCTGCGAAAACTTTGCTGAACTTTGGAGACATCAATAACATAAATGTAATTTTTATGGACGTTAAATAATAAATGGTTTTTAGTAGGTCCGCTGCTCGTTTAAACTCAACGGTTTGTGCAATATCCACTATTGGTCTAGATTCGACCAATCCTGTCGCGACATGAGTCGGCGATGACGTTTTACTGAATTATACGAGTCTCTTTCAGCGTGTTTATATGAATACGGTCGCAATTTTTTCGCCGTCATATAGGAATCCGAACTATATGAACCCGTTTTATAGGGGGTCTACTGTATTGTGAGGTCAGCCCCATTTAGGATTGCTGTACGTTTTTTACATCAAAGGACGATTCTTTATTTTAGCTAAACTGTTCTTGTCTTTTATTGAAACGGGAAAGGACACAATTTGTTTGTTATTTTCATTTTTCTATGTTAGTATTTCGTGATGGCAGTTTTTGCACAAATATATGACTATACATTATACATTGAATATTCTACTTTTTGAATACTTTACGTTTGGAATGACTGCAATAAGGTGTTAATATTCAGAATATTCTGTATTTCGAATATCCCACATTTTGAATATGCTGATATATCGATCCATTGATATATCAATTGAATATACCTATATGTCAATCCGTATCCTTCCCCATAGAAAACTATGGTTTACCATTAAATATTTTAAATTTTAAATTAAATTAAAATTTAAAATATTTAATGGTAAAACCATTAAACATTTAATGATAGCAGTAATGATGAATAAAGTGATAGCAGTAATTATTTTTAAACGTCCTTTAATCCAGTCGAAGAAATCTGCCAACATTATCCCACTGCAATACCGAGGAAGACGAACGTAAAACTTTTATAGACAATGAAGCAATCGACAGATGATGGATCTAAGTTTGTGTTAATATCGAAGTGGACACCATCGCTTTGGCTCTCCGCCAACGAGCAGAGTTTCTTTTAAAAGGATGTTACGAACACGTTTGAGCGCGATGATTTCACTTTGGAATCGTCCTTGCCTAGGACTGTTATTCAGTGCTCCGAGATTTCGAACGTCTGCTTATTCCGTATATTGAATCTCATTATTCAATTTAGTTCATTTTTTTGTCTTATATCATTAGTTTTGGTGTTATCAACTTATTCTATAGTTGTACTGACAGTTTTGCTCGATGGATGTCAGCTGCTTACACTTCACGTAAATCAGGCCTTAGAAGCTATGACGTCTTACATTCGCAATACAAAGCATCATCGCCTACCAGTTGCCGAGTGGACAAAACCACTGAATACTGGTAGTTGATCGCGAGTTTGCGCCTCACCAACGGGCTGGCCACGTGGGGTTTGCCGCGTTTTCTTCACGTTAGTAACACCTAAATAAGGGCCAGTATCCCATCGGGAGGTTTCCTCTAGGCAGATTGTCTACGTGTCGCTTTGCCGTAAATAAATAAACCATACCAAACTAAAACAAAACAAATCATCGACATTCGTCGGAGTAGACCACGTGATATGCACCAATAGATGAGAGCGTTGAACATAACATCCAAAACCATTAGTTTAAATGAGCTGACGGTCGGATGGCCGCGCGGTTAAGGTAGCAATCTACTGCTTTGGAAACCCGGGATGGAAACCGGACAAGTCGTAAAACTCCAGGAATATTTCGAGTTAGTTCGTCCGAATATGTCTGGTCTCCGCGTCTTACCACCGGTCGCCTGGCCTGGTTGTGGGTCTGGCTGATCCCATAATAGTCTTGCTAAAGCAAGGCCCACTTAATGGCCGTAGGGCGGAAAGAGTTTAAAAAGCCCTACGTTCTGTTATAATAGTTGTGCATCACACGACATGAAAGTTCAAAATTTTCTAATTTATGTTTCCCAGTCAATAAAGTTAAGATGATTGGAAAATGGAAAAATCCAAAAAATATTTAAAGTAAAATGTCTTAATATGCAATTTTCTTATTTAATTCAACACAAGATACAAGCTTAATGAAATTTGAATTTTACCTGCACGTGTTCTTCCATCTCGGACAATGTTTCTTCTATCCAACGATAATCCGATTGTACCCTGCAAACAACTCTGGAAACCAATGCCAAATGAGTGACTGAAAGAATTAAGGCAGCACATCTGTAAATGTGCCCTATAATTAGTACAAAAAATATAAATAAAATAAAAAATAAACAAAGATATTGTATGCCTGAAGTATTTTATTAACAAGACTAGAATGACATACGCAAAATATCATTGGATAAAAAGCGGACAAAAATATAATATCAAATAAGATTAGGAGAAAAACGTTCAAATATAAATGAAAATTTAAATAAAATATTTTATAATCCTCAAAATAAGAAAAATCCTCAGGTGAAGTGGATAACAACGAAAGAGTGTGATATTGTCAAAACAGAGGAATTTCACGTACCGATACGTATACTCACATTGAAGCACGGCCGTTTAAACGAAGCGGGAATGGAGTGTTTTAGTCGAAAGCGACAGATATCGGCTGCTTACGCTTCGTCTCTAAATTGTACTTAATTAATTGTTTAGCTAAACGCTTCCAGAAAGGCAAAAAAGTTAAATAGAACTTCATTCATTTTATTCGTTCTCGTTTCTGTTTTTATGCGAAGCGCTTATACAAATCTACGGATTTCCTCATTTACCGCGCCAAGTTCCAAGCGAAACATCGTTTGGCACCGCTCATCCAATACTCACTGTCGATCATGGCCGTCGAGAGATATTTCCCCAGAGAAAACCGAGGTCCATAGTTGTTTCCATTCCTATAAATTAATGCTGTTTACTAACAAATCTTTAAGACTGCTTTTTATTATTAAAGAGACATTCTACGTACTTCATTTTGTTAAAACATGGTAAAAATGGCCCGCTAAATCCCAGCCCTATCCAAGCTCTGGACGGCATTAGCGCCGATTGCTGCGGCTCGAAGGCAATGACAAATTTGTGCCGATGATATCGTCTAAACACACGAAAATAGACTAAAATTCCGACTCCGTTTCGAAAGTGGTATCGTATCGATAGAATAAAATAATTTTTACCTGGCTTCCAGAAGTCGAGGATCTAGAGGAGGATACATGGATTGAACCACATCGTCGATTCTCGGTCCGATTCTTTTAGCCACTTCTACAATTTCATCTAACTGCTTGCCAGATTTGCTGATACTTGTCATAGCCACTAAATTTTCGGTTAAACGACGGCATTTTTTCAAAATGGCTAAACAGTGCGGGATTAAGCCCCTTGAACAAACCATTAAAATTTGTATTTAAATTAGCAATATCTTCGCGACAAATAGAAAGATATAAACTGTATTCGGACTTACGTGGCATCGTCTATCCATCGATCGTCGGCCAAGATGCTGTCTATATCGAATCGAGATTGGACGTCGTCTAATTCTACTTCGGTATCGTCCTTCACCAATTGGTCGTCTACTCTGAAATTCATAATGCCCCGAGTACTTAATAAATTATAAATTTACATCGGTAGAACGCTTGGTGATTGATGTATATTTTGTATTCTTTTCCAAAACTGCACACACGGGACTATTCGAGTCTAACCCCTTCCATTTAGGAAGAATTAAAGAACTATTAATATATAAAATTAGAATTAATTTTGTACCCCGTTCAGTTTCTCCTCGGCATAATGTTTGTACAAGTATTGTATTATTCTATATATCTATATTATAAAAATTAATAAACTACGTTATGAAAAACAAATGCGTCTTTTTAAAATTCCAACTTGTTTACGAATCTATTCTTGTCATCCTACGGGCAATTAGAGGACTTTTTAACGTATTCGTTAGGAATTCGTCCAGACTCGCAATGGAGAAGCGAGGTGGTGAGAGATTAACCCCAAGCTCTCACCACCACTGTATAATGCTACCACTATATATAGTGGTAGCATTATATATAGTGTATAATGCTACCACTATATATAGTGGTAGCATTATACAGTGGTAGCACTGTATAATGCTACCACTGCACTATATACAGTGGTAGCATTCGTCTTGAAAAGACAAATGCTACCACTATATATAGTGAATTCTTTACTACTTATTTATTGTTGGGCTGCAATTTGAAAAATTGTAGTCCATAAATTCCCACTGTCGTCCATCCGGCTGTCTTCCCTTAATATCAAGAATGGAGTTAATTAGATAAAAGACGAGACCAGATATGGAAATCATAAGGAACAGAAAGCCCCGATTAACTATATAAGAATTTCTGATTCAAATCGGAAGTCACGTTATTTTAATTCAAAAACTTTTCCTTGAAAAGTGTTAGATGACTAACTCGACTATATTGTTAAAGGAAAAGTATGAGGTACAGGGGCAAGCCACTACTAATTTGAAGTGGAGAGCATATATTTTAAGTTAAATAAATTAAAAATATGAACAAGCAGCCTGGAATTGTAACGATGTCACAATAAATAATCGCTTGTATAATTTTAGATTATTTTCGTTATTCGAAAGTTTAATAAGAAAAATTCCAGTTAAAAATTGTCTACTCGTTTGCTTAAATGGAAAATCATTTTAACAGTCTTCGTTTTAATATGTCTTTTTTCAAATACCAGTATAGCAATTTCATGTTACTTAAACAAAAGTAATAAATGAAAGAAAAAAATGCAAAACTAATAAATGAAAGAAATCACCCCAAAAATTTGGGGTGATTTCTTTCATTTATTACTTTTGCATTTTTTAATGCTTAGTGCTATTTGCGTAAAAAATATAAATATGTTTTTAAGCTTTATATGCACTGCCAAATAAAAGAAAAAGGAAGATGGTATTTATTATACGGATCCTTAACCTACCATTAGCGAGATATGAATGTATAGTAAAACCTGTGTAAACCGGAATCGCACAGTACGAAATGCTTTTGTTTTGAAATTTTCTGTTTTTAACAGGTTTCAGGTGTTTTCTTTTGACTATATCAGACAAATGTCACACGGTTACATTCATTTTTATAGTAATATCAATTCAATTCTAAAAGGTTTTCGTTCTTTCCGAGAACTTGCGCTAAGTATTTGTACGTGACTTTTAGGAGCTCTTTCCAAAGAGAACAAGTTAATTCGAGATTCAAGAACTAGCGTCTCGCTCTGCCGTTTGGAAATTTTAATATAATAATAAATTATAGATGGTCGGATGGCCAAGCGGCTAAGGTGGCAGCCTACCGCTCTGGAGACACTTGTATCCGGAGTGGTCCGTCCTTGTACGTCGGGTTTTATCCCTCATCATCCAGCCGCCCCATTGTGGGCCTGGCCGAACCCGTAATAGGCTTACTGAAAAGAGGCCCCTCGTAGTGCCTACTTAGAGGAGAGTTTAAAAAAGCATGCATCACCACGTACACTTGTGCAATGCAGGAAACATTCTTTTGCCCTAGATGTTGCCTGTACGTTGACAAACTAATATACACGTAACATACATATTCAAATGTTCCACAAGTCGCATATCGATAATTGTCGTTAATCCGGAATCAGCGGAGACGAAACATTGTATTGGTTAAGGTATCTTCGTTTAATCAAGGATTTAATGTATAAGTCTTTACATAACAGTAGGACGAACGTCCGTACGTGTCGACAGATAGTAGTCCGAACAAAGGAACAAATGAAGACAAAGGGTCATAAAACATTTTTTGGTTTTGGGAAGGTCCCTCTAGTGCAGTGTTTCCCAAAGTGGGGCGTACGCCCCACAGGGGGGCAATTTGATGGTTGGAGGGGGCAATTTGAGAATTGACATGACATAATTTCTTCCCTTCGCTATGAGCTTTTTTAATGCAACGCTTTAGGTGACAAAGAATATGAAAAAGAAAATTTTCTAAATAGAGGACTTAAATTATTAATAAGCATTTTTAAGATGGTATCAAAACCTAAACTATGTTATTAGAGTCCGCAAGTGAACTTTTCAGCGTTTCCCTTTGCTGTATCTCTTGTCGCAGAAATCTTGTATCTTTTAAAGTCGCTAAGTAACAACGTTTTTGCACAATTTTTTTTCTAAAAAATTAACTCTAATATTTTTAACACCTATATGTCATAATTGTCTGTCATTTATATGATTAAATGAATTAATTAATACATGTTGTAGAAATATAATTTTTACGTATTGAATAATTTATGTTTATTTTTTAACCATTTAGCTTTTTATATAAGTTTTTAAACTGTAAAACTATTGATAATATTTAAAAACTAATTAATTGTGCCTTTTTTGTTAGTTTAGATATCTCTAATAGCAGTGTCTTTGATAAAGGAGTCCAGAAGTATTAAAATCTTGCAATCTGGTCTGCTGGAATCTTCAGGGCTTGCGTTTATCCCAAGTATCACTTGCGGCAAAATGTGTTATATCTACACAAAAACAATTTTTTCTAAATTTACGTTTACTCTGTCACATTGAATTATTTTTACAAAATTTTATTATTTTTTTAGCCCATAAAAAATGAGTGGAACAACAAAAAAGAAAGTTCGTCAATATTCAGAGGAATATCTAA